TATGAGGTTTCTTTCCCTCCCTACAGCCCTCTCCTCTTTCCTGTGTTAAAAAACACAAGAACAAAAAGCAAACAAGAAAAGTTCAAGGCCTGCTCTTGGGCTGAGTATCTGTCGGCCGTTTGGTTTTAAGTGGGTACTGTCTCTTTAAATTTCGAGGAGCTCTGTGCATATGCGTATGCGTAGTAGAACCCTCCGAGGGTGGAGCTGGAGTATCTACCAGCTCAGGCACCCCTATAGTCACCAGAATGGAGGTACGCAGACAGCAAGGGACCAACGAAAAGATACCAAAAAGAAAAAAAAGAATGTCCACACCTCTATCTCTGAGGCTCTGTCAGGTGTCCATGGCTGCTCTGACCCTTTCCCCGCTTGGCCCCACACAAAATGGCGGCTCCTAGAGCAGCTGAGCGTCCCAAACCAGGAAGCAATGGATTTCTTGCTTCTGCCACAAACTCCCCAGCTATAAGTCTTCCAACCTTCTAAATATTCCTTTTATATGTGGTTCAGAGTACTGGGACCATTCCCTGAGCCTTCTTGGTCCTGTATTCTGTGTTGTTCACGGCAGAGCTCGTCACTACACTTCCACCCGATCCGCCATCTTTTTTCTGGAACCTCATCTATAGAATCTTTGATCAAAATGTTCGGTAACAGTAGCCAGACACCATCCAGCTCTTCTGGTCTCATGGCAAAGCAAGTAGGTTATTCACGGAGGTAGCTAGCCACACATTCCATTTCCTTCTATCCTGGACTCTCCTTCTGCTTCTGTTTTCTTCAAGTAGATAGAGACCACGTTTTTGTTTTTTGTTTTTGTCTGTCTTAGATGGTCGTTGGCAACCTTTTAAGGCCCCAGACACTGTGGAAGGAACTAGGAGGTAGAACAGAAGCACTAAACACAGTATTAGGCCAGTTAACTAGGATGTCCCATGAAACCATGACCTTAATCCTCTAAACCAAGGAACCAAATCCATGAAGTATTTGATTGTACAGAAGCAGCTTAATCAGCTACACTTTTGTTGTTGTTGTCATTGTTGTAAATATATCTATCACACAGTGTAAGCCAATCTGGTTTTTTACGGGTTTGCAACTTGTTGTCAGCTAGCCAAGCACTGTAATAAACACTTTACAGGGATGAATTTATGTAGTCCTCACAACCACTTTATGAAGTAAGTCCCATTATTTATTCCCAGTTTACAAAAAGGGAAACTGAGGTACACAACAGTTAAGTAACTTGTCCTAAGTCTCACAGCTAACAGTTGATCTCAGATCAGGGTTCAAACCCAGGCTGTCTGGACAGAGCAGTTCTCAGTGAAAGTTACATTCCCTTCTCCTCTTGCTTTCAAGCCCTGAGTAACCCCCACCTCTTAAACAGAATGAATCTTTCCTGACTGGGCCGACCCAGCTAGGCCAGGAGGAACAGAAACCCTCCCTCTGGGTACACCCCAGCAGCCAGGGCCTCTGCTTTCCATTCTGCTTCTTCCTGAAGGTACCTTAGGGAAGGGGGAGGTTGGGGAGGTTGGGGAGGTTGAGGAGGCTTCCTCCCTCCATGTCCACTACAACCTGAGCAACCTCGCTTTGATCTGTATTGCGTGTGGGGGAGTGGGGGGAGAGGCGGAGCGGTGAGAAGGGCTTTCTGCAAAGAAAAAAAAAAGTTAAAAGGCTTGAAACGACAGACAGCCCATTCATTTGTACCCTCAAATATTGGTATCATCATTATAATTTTATGTATAGGCCGTGTCGCCACAGCTAGATTATGAACTGTTCTGGAGGGCCTGGACTTCCTTAGCTTGGTGCTCGGGGCACAGTAGGTGCTAAGTAAATCTTTGATGAGCAGGAGATATACAGAGACTATTATTATGGTCTGGGGAGGGAAAAACTAAGACCCAGCTGAGTACAGCAGCTGACCAATGAGTCAAAGGCTAGATTTCCGCTCACTCTTCACTGTCTCTGTAACGGCTCATGGTGCTATGATATATAGCTTTGTTTGCTGCCCCTAGAGGACTGGTTGACTCTCTGCAGCTCCCCATAAAGGAAATCTTTGGATCTCCTTTCTAATACTGCAGTCTTCCCATCCTGAGGGCCTGCCTGCCAGATTCCAGTCCCTGGAAAAGTGTTTCTTTCTCTACCTCCCTCCCACTTCCTGTGCAGGTGGACAGAAGGCATAGATAGCCCCAGATTGGCTGCCATCTATCCCCAAATCTTATACTTTATTCCTAGAACTCTAGCAGCAGGAACCCACTACCTGAAAGTCCTGTTTGTTTTCCCCTGTTGGCCAACTCTCTGGGCCCTTTGATCACTTTTACAACTTTATAATTATGGACTGTAATGGGCTGGGGTGTTTGAAAGTAACAGTAATTATCCACTGTTCCTATCCCAATCCTTCAAAGAGACAAGGGTGGGGAAGTAAGAAACTCTATAGAGAAGGAAAGCTGTGACCTCCCCTCCTGCCCTTCCAGGCCAGGGTGGATCCAGGATCTTGTTCTGGGGATAGAAACCAGTGGTCCTGGCAGCTGGAGAACCTGGGAATCCCAATTCAGTGACCACTGGAGTGACCTCTTCCACCCCTTGAGCCCAGTCCCCAGACTATGAGATGGCTGGTGAGGTTCCCCATTCCATTCCCCCTGCTACTGCTTCACACCCCTGCTTGGAGAAACTGAAGATTGGAGAGCTTCTGTCTAGGGTGTCCTAGGTGGGGGTAGACTTCCTGGGAGGAAGTGGTGGTGGGGAGGGTGGAGGCTGTGACCTCTTAGTCTCTTCAGTTCCATTCTGGAGTCCTATGAATTTCCAGTCAATTAGCTGGGTGAGCCCTGGGCTGGGCTGCACCTGGGTGGAGGTACAGGGCTATTCTAGCTCCCAGGGGAGGGAGGGAGGCAAGAAGGAAGTTACTTTCCTGACCCAAATGGGGCCCCACTAGAATGTCTCCACCACTTTCCTGGGCTCCCCTGCCTTTGGGGCAGTGGGTTCTGAGGGGCCCCCTGGCCACCTCCCGCTCCAGGGAGCGGCTGCCGCTCCCTGGCCTGCCCTGACAGGCTCTGGCTGGGACGCAGAGATCAAAGCTTTGAGAGTGTGAGTAAGCCAGCATTGGCTCCTCTTCCTGCCACCACTACTGGCAGCAGGATTAACTCCTTCCCTGCCTGCAGGAAGGCCCACAGACTGAGCAGGGGCCCTGAGGCCTTGAGGTCCCAGACTGTAAGTTCAGAGAGGAGTCTTCGCTCTAGGGAGCAAGACTGGAGAGTGGGCACTTGGCGAAGGAGCAGCTCACTCCCCATGTTGTCTGTTGGTCACTGCCCACTGGGCCCTACCCTACCCTCAGCCCTTATCTCCCTTCTCTCAACCCTGTATAGATCCTTAGAGTCCTGCTTGTTGGTTTTCACCTGACCAACTCTGCTATCCAATCCCCTGGCTGGCTGCATTCTGCTTTCCCAAGCCTGCGGGGAGTTCTCTAGTTGGAACCTCTGCCTGTAGGCTCCTGCTGGGCAGTTATGTCCTTGTGGGAACAGCACTTCTGGTCCTTCCCCACCCATGTCTCTAATGTCATACTAAGGAAGATGATGAAGAGATAAAGCACTGGACAGGGACTCTTAAAGGAGAAAGTGTTGGCAAACTAGAGTGTGCGAGGAGAGACAGTGATGAGATGGGCTGAAGTCAGGCTTGCACTGGAGGTCTTGGATGAGAGCCAGTGTGCCCAGCTCTGAGAATGTAGCCTGAGCTTGGGGGTATCCCATAGGCTCCTCTTGTCATGCAAAGCTGGCCTTTGGAAAGTCCAGCTCTGTTCTATGGAGCCCTCCCTCCCCCCCCCCCACCCCCTCATCCCTGTCCTAGGGACTAGTCACTCTCTACTCCCTGGGGAGCGCTGGTCACTCCTTACTCTTAGGCCTCTTAGTCCAGGCAGACTGATGGAGCTCTGAGGACAAGGACTCTTCTTACTGTCTTTGGATCCAGATTTTAGTCTACCACCTGGCTCCACTAAACTCTTGTTAGGGTTGTTCCGTTACAGAATGGACTAACTGCTGTCCTTTGAAAACAGGTGGGGTGTTGGTGAGCTCAGGGTGCAGGGCAGGAGGATCCTAGTTGCCCTGATCCCGTGATGCATGTTTGTAAGTGTCCAGAGTCCCAGTTGAGATGGGTGTGTGTGTGTGTGGAGGGGGTGAGGCGAGGCCATGGATGAGCTGTCTTCTTCCCTGTCCCCAGCCAGACCTCTCCTGTGTGTCCCTGTAGGCCCGAATGGCAGGTGAGCGAGGAGCCAGTGCTGTCCTCTTTGACATCACTGAGGATCGAGCTGCTGCTGAGCAGGTACCAGGGGCTTTACGGAGTCTGAGGGGAGGAGGTAGGTGGCTGGAGGTGAAGTCAATGGGAAGGGAGAAGTCAGGATGTAGCAACCTCACTGGACACCGTCCCTTCTTTAGCTGCAGCAACCCTTGGGGCTGACTTGGCCAGTGGTGTTGATCTGGGGCAATGATGCTGAGAAGCTAATGGAATTTGTGTACAAGAACCGAAAGGCCCATGTGAGGATTGAGCTGAAGGAATCCCCATCCTGGGTAAGCACAGAAGATCTCCAGACCCTGCCCTTAGTGTCCACTCTTACCTCTACCTTTGTCCCATGGTAACTCCCACCCAAAGCCCTCACATCCCTGGAACTGATGGAGACCTTAGAAAAACTCTTGTCCTAAGAGGGAGAGGGAGAACTCCTTCAGAAACCCAGCTGTGTACCTTGCAGCTCCTTGAACCAGCTGAGTTCTAAAGCTGTCTTCAGCTCGGTGGCCTTGGCATGAAGTAACAGAGACACCGTGAGACCTGCCCATTGTTTCTCTACAACCCCAGCTGTTCAGTGGCTAACCCCCACCTGCAGGAGGGTCTCTTCTCACAGCTGATATCCAGAAAGCCCTCTCCTATGAGGGCTTTTGGGCATAGAGGGGCTAGCTAACCCCACTCAGCGTTCATCCCCACTGCAGCCCCCCATCCAGAAGACCCAAGATCACCAGGTCTGTGTATACCTCCTAGGCTCCTGTGTTCCCTCCCAAATTGGCCTAGCCCTCTCCAGAGCTATGACTCTTCTCCCATTCTGCTTGTTTCCCCCAGCCAGATTACGATGTATGGATCCTCCTGACTGTGGTGGGCACTATTTTTGTGGTCATCCTGGCTTCGGTGCTGCGCATTCGGTGCCGTCCCCGCCACAGCAGGCCGGTGAGCACTGTGGGGTTCCCTGGTGGGGGTGGACATGTGCACATCTGCGGGAAGGTGGGAGCAGGAAGAGGAAGTAAGGAAAGTGCCTTTATTCCCACCAACAGCTTACCTTCAAAACCCACATGTCTGTCTTTGTGAGAGCTATCCCATAGCTCCCTCCATAGGCTTGCTCATTTCTTCATTCATTCAGTAAGCATACAAAGTTCCTACTATGTGCCATGCACTGTTCTAGGTGTTGGGGACACAACAATGATTAAAAAGAATAAAAATCCTTACCTTCAAAGAGCTTTTATTCTAGTAGAAAGAGACAGACAAAGGAACAAACTCCCAGGGGCAGTCAACTGACCATATAATCTAACTAGGTGAGCTGGGCTCCAGGGCCAAGGGAAGAGGAGGCCTTGTCCCATTCTGAGCTCTACCCCTCTTCCCAGGAGCCCCTTCAGCAACGAACAGCCTGGGCCATCAGCCAGCTGGCCACCAGAAGGTACCGGGCCAGCTGCAGGAAGACCCATAGTGAATGGCCAGACTCAGGTAGCAGCTGCAGTTCAGCCCCCATGTGTGCCATCTGCCTGGAAGAGTTCTCTGAGGGACAGGTAAGGCAAGGCTTGTGGTTCAGTTCCATGGGTAGACAGGAGAGGATGAATGCAGTTTGGGGAGGAGGTGCTTGGGGCTAGTGTGGTTGTCCTCTGTGTCCTGAGAGCCCTGAGGCTGGTTAACTGTCTTGGCCTGCTAGAGAGAGACTGTTATGTGTTACGAGTGTGCCTTGGACAGGCTTTGCAGTGAGTGCTTATCATGAATTATCTCATGTTAGCCTCCTGACGGGGGAAGGGTGGGGGAGCTGCGTTTTTTATCCTTGTTTCACAGACAGAAAACCGTCTGTTAAGAAACTTGCCCAAGGTCACATAGCTAACAGGCAAAATCTAGGCCTACCTGATACCAAAGCCCATACCTTTTCTATTCTACTGTGAGGTCGTCTACAAGTAGGTGATAGCAAGAGGGAGAGGCCAAAGAGGTACAGAGGGATATTCTGGTTCCTGGCTACTCCTGTAGCTATAGATATCATTGGTTTGGACTCCCTTGTTTTCTTCAGGAGCTACGAGTCATTTCCTGCCTGCATGAGTTCCACCGCACCTGTGTAGACCCCTGGCTACAGCAGCGTCAGACGTGCCCTCTCTGCATGTTCAACATCGTAGGTAGGAGGTGGGCCAAAGTCTCCCCTGTGAACAGGCAGCTGGGTGGAGAATGTGGCCTTTCTCTGGGAATGGGCTTCTGCCTTGAAGCTGAGGAGAAAGCAGAGCTGCCAAGGTGGTTGTTTATGTTGTGCACTGCTCAATAGTGCCTCAGCTGAGTGGGGAGCCGGTCACACTGCAGACCTCCTTACTGGTTTTAAAATTATTTCTATTCTTATGACAACATGTTTGAACTAAATTTGGGCTATTTGCATATTTTTCCAATTTTCTGGTAATAAATATCATGCTCCGTGACAGTTTCTAAAAGATGAAAGTGAAGTCCACAAGGGAGGAAAGAGAATCTTTTCCTAATTCAATCAGAGGTGTATCTGGCCTAGCAGTGACCCTGAGTGAAAGAGCTTCAAATGGTTGGTGGGAGTGCACAGGAATTGGTACATAGAATAGAGCTCTCAGGACAAACAGACTTGGCTAGAGGGAGGGAGTCCTTGTTCTCCTGAGCTCTACCTCATAGGTTATTCAGGCTCCATAGGTTTGTGGGGTCAGACATCATGCTCTTGGTTCTTTTTTTCCAGAAGGCGATTCGTTTTCCCAGGCCTTGGGACCCTCTCGATCTTACCAGGAACCAGGTCAGAGGCTCCACCTCATTCGCCAGCATCCCGGTCACGCCCACTATCACTTTCCTGCTGCCTACCTGCTGGGCCCTTCTCGGAGCTCTGCGGTTCAGCCCACACGACCTGGTCCCTTGCTGCCATCCCAGGAGTCAGGCATGGGTCCCCGGCACCAGCGCCTCCCCAGAGCAGCCCACCCCCGGCCTCTGGTAGAACAGCAGCGCCTGTCAATAGCCCAGCGACCCTATGCACAGGGCTGGGGGCTAAGCCGGCTCAGATGTACCCCACAGCACCCTGCGGCTTGCCCAGGGCCCCCACGCAGGGCCAGGCCTCACGACAGCAGCGGGTCTGGGGAAAGCTACTGCACAGAACGAAGCGGCTACCTGGCAGATGGTCCAGCCAGCGACTCCAGCTCAGGGCCCTGTCATGGCTCCTCCAGTGACTCCGTGGTCAACTGCACAGATGTCAGCCTGCAGGGCATCCATGGCAGCAGCTCTACCTTCCGCAGCTCCCTCAGCAGTGACTTTGACCCTTTGGTCTACTGCAGCCCTGAAGGGGAGCCCCAGAGGGGAGAGACACACCACGTTAGTGTGGCCACTCGTCCCCGTTCCTTGGATTCAGTGGTGCCCATAGGGGAAACCCAGGTCTCCAGCCACATCCATTACCACCGGCACCGGCACCGGCACCACCACTACAAAAAGCGCTTCCAATGGCATGGCAGGAAGTCTGGCCCAGAAACTGGCCAGCCCCAGTCCAGGCCTGGTGTTCCTCAGACACAGCTCCAACCAGAGCCACCTTCTGGTGAGCAAGTCACCAGATCCAACTCACCAGCCCCTTCAGGGCAGTTCCTCAACCCACAATGGCCTAAAACCATCACAGAGTCAGCCCCTGGCCCAGCTGAAACCTCTGTTCCCAACAGCCTTTACAGCTTGCAGAAATCCAGCCTCCCAGCCCGACACCCACAGAGGAAACGGCGGGGGGTTCCCTCAGGGCCTACCCCAGTCTTTCAGCCCCAAGACTTGACTGAGCACCCAGCTTGCCAGGTGTGTCCCCACTATGACCCAAGCCTGGCATACCCTTGGTCCCCAGAAGCCCACCCATTGATCTTCGGACCATCGGGCCTGGAAAGGAGGCTTCTACTAGAACCCCCGGGCCCCTGTTACTCAAGTGCACAGCCAGTATGGTTGTGCCTGACTTCACGCCAGTCCCTGGGACCACATCCACCTGAGGAGGGGCCTTCTGAACGAAGTCCTGGCAGTACAGAGGGCAGGCCATGCCCTTACCCACACTTCCAGGTGCTGCCAGCCCAGCCTGGTGAGTTTTCATGGGAAGTAGGTATGATGGGAGCAGTGGAGGAGAGGAAGCTAAGAGAAGCTGGATGGTACAGGACAAGTGAAGTCAACCAACAAGGGGGTTGACAGAAGTTGTGAAGGATACAACAGGGGTGCCACTGATAGTATTGAGGAACCAGCACCACATAGGATGCTGGCTGAAGCACCCCAGCTCTGTCAAGTGCTACCCCTTTAGTTGTCAGATCTTAGGGAGGTCTCAGGGAGGTAATAGTACAGCTAGAGCTTCAGTGAGACACTTAGAATGGTTGATGCTGCAGTTCAAATGGAAGTAGGTCAACATTTTGACAATTGGCACAGTCATACCAGTGTGTCCAACTGCTCAGTATTAGCTCTAAGTACAAAGAAAGCCAAGAAGTATCCCTTGCCCTCAAGGAGACCATGATTTTATAGGAGATCTCATTACAGATAACCATAATAGGAGTCCTGGTGTGGCCCTGTGGGTTAATGCTCTGGACTGCAAAGTCAGTTTGAACCACAAGATCAGCCATTCTAGTTTACCAGTTGCTCTTCAGAACCTACTCGACAGCACTTAACACCACCAACAAAAGGCACTGTGAGAAGAGTTATGTGAATGATGCAGAGAGAGAGAGCTCACAGGTGTTTCCCAGCAGCCCTGCAGGTCCTTAGGGCTTCTGTGGTTCCGGTGGTACAGGGATAGGAAAGCTTCCCCTCCCAGCACTATTATTTATAAGGTCGACCTCATTTTCTTGGGAGCCCAGTGTATCCCTGCTGCTGTTTTATAACCAATGGTGATCGTTTAAGTTCTCAACCTTAATTTTGTATTTATTTGCCCAAATACTACTCTTCCTCTCTCAGAGCCCTCCCCGCCTACTTCTTGACTATTTTCTCCCATTGTGTGGATGACACAACTCTGCCTACAGCCATGGCAAGGAAGGCCCTTCCATCCCAACAGGACACCCAAATATCCTAAAATATAGGAATCCTACAGGCATGACTCCTGGTGTGGCACTGTAGCATCAACACTGGACTGTGGACCACAAGGTTGGCAGTTCAAACACAGCAGCTGCTCCTCAGAAACCCCTTTCCTCTCTTGGAACTGACTTGACAACAGGCAGAACTTGAGAGAAACTATCACTTATTAATTTCCCTTCACTTCCCTTTCTTCTTTTTGCATTTATCACATTTACGTAGGCTTCCAATGTGCTAGTTTCCAGGCTAAGCTATGAATATACAAAGATGAAAATATATAGAACTTGCCAACTGGGAGATGCTGGTGGATGGGGAAAAAGGCGTGCAAACAAAGTAGGAAAAGAATTGCTTTCACAGAACCATGTATCTGTACATCTTGGACATATGTGTGATGATTCCAGTTGGACCTGGATGTGTTATATTTGCAGGTCCAAACTATCGTCTCCCAAGCTCAGAACTAGCTTCAGTGCTTCCTTTCCCCTGTACCTTACATCCGGTCAGTGCTAGGTTCTGTTAATGGTATCTCTGCTTATTTCTACCATATTTTCCTCTAGCCCAGCACTCAGGGCCAATGCCAATGTCTTCTTCTTGGTATGTACCGTCAAGTTGGTTCCAGTTCACAGCAGCTTTGTATAGGGTTTCTGAGACTGTAAATCTTCACAGGAGCAGAAAGTCTCATCTTTGTCCTGTGAAGATTTATACACTCTCAGAAACCCTGTAGAGCAACTAGTGGATTCGAACCACCAACCCTACAGTCCAGTGCATAACCCACTACACAACCAGGGGTCTGCCAATGCTTTCTTGTTACTGTTAAGTGCCATCGAGTTGGTTCTGACTCATAGTGACCCTGTGTGGAGTTTTCCAAGGCTTTAAATATTTGTGGGAGCAGAAGCCTGGCCTGACCCTCAGTTTTCTTTCTTCCCCTGTCTCTGAATGCAGGCTCAGAGGAAGAGCTTGAAGAATTGTGTGAACAGGCCGTGTGAAATGGTCAGACCTGGGTCCAACCCACTGCTCTGGATGACTCAGGGCCCTACCAGGCAGAATCCTGCTCCTAGGAGAAGAGAGGACCTCAGCAAACAACCCTCTTTTTGCCATACTTCCTGCAGCCAGTGGGAGAGGAAAGGTTATAGTGGGTGGTAGGAGGTGCTGTTTCCTGCTGTCACCTAGGGGGGGATGGTTTCCCCCTTGCCTGCAGAACACATCTCCAGGGCAGTGTGTCTGAGTCCAGCCAAGCAGCTACTGCTGGTGCACATGTGTGGGCTGGCTCACTGGAGGGCAGGAAGCTAGATATGGTAAGCTAATGTGTTACAAAGGTGCTGCTCGCTCCGGGATCCCACTGGGTCTCCATCATCTCAGACTTCATGTTCAGACCAACCAGTGAGTTCAACTGGCTTTCCCATCTCCTTCTGCTGAGCCCAAGGCACAGCCCTGGTTCTCCCTAGAACGGCATCAGGGACGGCCTCAGCTCTAGACTTTTTCTTTTTTGAGAAAGAACCAGGAGCATGTTTGAACCTTGAAAGGTGGGGTCTCCACAGCTTTTTGAGGGAGCACCTCCCCTGGTGCAAAAGGGAGCATTTATTCTCCCTTGTCCTTAAATTGCCAGCTGTGGGATTAAGTCAGAGGGAAACCAGGGTGTGGAGTACTGTCCCTGAGCTGGGTATAGAATCTTGAGGACCTGGAATGAAGCATTTGAGCTTCACTCTCCCTTGTCAACCCTTCAGCTGTAGTTCCTCTGGAAGCTGAGCAGGAAGGACAAGCAGCAGGGAGGAGGAGCAGGACAGAATAAAGCAAAAGCCAAGTGTGGCCCAGAGGCCTGGCTCCCTAGTATAAGCCATACATCTAGAAACCCACAGGGAGTGGGTACGGAGGCTAGTGGACTTGGAGCACGAAGTTTGGCCTGGGCAACTGGTACCCGAGTGGGCAAGGACTGAGAGGCCTCCCTAGGGTGACATTCACTCCAGGGTAGCCTGGTCATTGCGGGACCCTCAGGCATTATCCCATTTGGAATGTGAATGTGGGGGCATAGTGGGCATAGGGCCCCCACCTGGGAACTTTCTTTCCTCCAAGTCAGTGGGGAGACTAGCACCTAGGCACCCACATGGGTATTTATATCTGAACCAGACAGAAAGACGCTTGAATCAGGCACTAAGTTGAGAAATGTATTTATTTGCTAATATATTTATCCACAAACACAATTTGGTCTTGTGGTTTTGTTCAGTAATGGTTGTCATTCAGGTTAACAACTTCATCTCCTTCTTTATGGACAGAAATAAATTATTTCTGATATCAGGCTCTGATTTGTAAAAGGATAGGGTGGACTGGTGGGCTTGGTAACAGCATGACTTGGATGGTTTCATGCGACAAAGGAGGGAGAAAGCAGGACTAAATTCTCACCAGGCTTCACTGACTAGCTGTATGATGATGATTGCGATGTTTATTCTCCATTTTAGTGTACAAAATATTTTGGTTGCTTCAGTTACTTTGTGACCTCGGGCAAGTACTCTATGACTCAGTTTTCCATCCATAAAATGGGCCTACATCAGTGTTGCTTCTAGCCTCACATGAGGTACCAGAGAATGAAAACATGTTCCTGAGTGTCAAGTTAGTATTTAAAGATGGAATACAGCGGAGTGGGCATCAAGAGGCAGCCCTGACCTTGAGAGCAGGACTCAGGGCCTGAAACTCATTATGTATCCCAAAGCTCCAGTTCAGATAAATGTCAATGACTATGTGTTTCTCCCAAGGAGCTATGGTAGCGTAGTGGTTATGAATCGGGCTGCGAACATTAAGGCCAGCAGTTCGAAACTACCAGCCGCTCTGCGGGAGAAAGACGAGTCATTCTGCTTCCGTAAAGATTTACAGCCTCGGAAACCCTGTACAGGGTCGCTATGGGTTGGAACCGACTCGAAGGCACTTAACAACAACATGTGTTTCTCCCAAGATTTCCACAAGGTCAGAAGAGGCGTCCGCTCTCTTCCCCAAAAAGCACATTTCCCCCTTCTGCTTCTCTGGAAAAGGTTTAGTGCCTAGTTTTGAACTCAAAATAAAGGCATTCTATTTCCGATAAGGTAAAATGGAGAAAAATAAAAAAAGAACACCTAATCCCCTGGCATTGCAGGGCAAGCCTGCTCACCACCAGGCAGTTGTTCAAACCCAGCTACCACACTTCAGAAACCCCACACAGGGCCACAGGGTCGCTGAGTCGGAACCCACTCGAGGGCACACCTGCTGTAGGATAAGCATTGGACTGCTAACCATAAGGTCTGTGTCTAAAGGTTAAAAGCCGTACAAAGTATAACTTATCAGTTGGAAAGGGTGAATTTAGCTTTAAAAATCATTAAATCCGCATTCCCTCCTCCCCCCTCGCCCGCCCACAGGCCAGCATTCCTATCCTGGCAAACGGAAACTCTATAGCGCTTTCAGTTAGGTAACAGGGGTGGGGCCGCCCCTGGGTTTGTTTTCGGTGTCTGCGGAGATAATCCGGAGGGAGACTGGGGGTTCTCTGCCCTGTGCTTTTCAAACGGAAAAACAAAACGACCATTTGGAATCCTACTAAGGGGACCCACGGCTTGGTGCCAAATGCCTAGATCAAATGGCCCGCGCCGGCAGGATCTCGCGCAGGCGCCTTGCGCGCCACCCACCCTTCCCCCCACAAGCCTTTGCCCACCAGCCCAATGGCCGCCTCGGCCTCCGCCTCCGCCTAGCCCTCGCGCCCGCCCAGGTGACTTCAGGCTGACCCCGCCTCCCCAGTGGGAGAGACCATCTCCTAAGGCGGGGGGAGGGGCGGGGCCTGTGACCTCACACGCCGGAAGAGGAAGTTCGCGGCACGCTGCGCCAGAAGTGGAATGCATGCTGGGTAGTTGGCTGTTTACTTCCTGTGCGTGAGGCAACCTGAGCAGAAGTTCTAGTTGTTTTTCTTCCTATTGGAGAAGATGGCCCTGGAGACGGTGCCGAAGGACCTGCGGCATCTGCGGGCGTGTTTGTTGTGTTCTCTGGTCAAGGTATTCTCCCGGGAGCTGGTTGTGGGAGCGCTGGGTTAAAGAGGATAGCTGGAACGGGGCTGGGGAACGGTCAAGAGGAAAGTAGGGTCCCAAGAAGTGCCGGGGGGAGTGGGAAGCCTAAGAAGACTACTGTGCACGTTGCTAGGAACGCGTGCAGGCCTTGCAGCTAAGGAACCAAGGACAAGGGTAGTCTTGCACCCTTGGTCCTTCAGCTCTTAGCCCAGGCCCAGCCCCTAACAGAACTTACGTGAACTTACTTTGAATCCAAGGACACTGAGGATCAGAGATGAGGGTCTGCGCTGACCCCGGGTAGATTAGGGAAGAGAATACGTAGAACAAAATTGGAAACGAGAGTGAAGGAGCTTGAGGGTGGAATGTAGGAATGGAGTTTGGGGGAGTGGTGGGTGGGAGACCTGAAGGACCGAACAAACTAGGGAATTAAGGGGCTGTCTAGGTAGAAGAATACTGAGAAAGTTCCCTTTCCTTTTAGCTTTTCATTCATGGATTCTTGCCCATTTTCTTTTCCTTCCAGACTATTGATCAGTTTGAATATGACGGCTGTGACAATTGTGACACATATCTACAGATGAAGGGTAACCGAGAGATGGTTTACGATTGCACCAGCTCTTCCTTTGATGGGTAAGTGCCTTGGGATTCCTTCCTTCACCTCTGCATTTCTGTCTCTTCCAACAGGAATGGGGCAGGCATTTGAGATGACAATTCTAGTTACTTATTCACTACTTTCCACTAATTTTGCACTAATTAACACAGTAGCCGCATATGCGGTAATTGCTTACGCCTAAAATGGAGCTTTGATAGCGTAATGGGTTACAAGCTGAGCTGTTAACCTGAGCTGTTAACCGCAAGGGGAACAGTTCGAATCTACCAGTTGCTCCACAGGAGAAAGATGAGGCATCTGCTCCCGTAAAGATTTACAGCGTCCAAAACCCTATGCAGGGTCGCTCTGAGTCAGAACTGACTCCACGGCACAGCACCACCACTGCACCTGAGATGTGCTGTTAAGTGTAAAAAGACCATGTGAAAGAAAGAAGGAAAAAATGCCACATTATTTTTTTATTTTTATAGTTGAGGATTAAATTTTTAGTTTTCTCTGTACTTTTTAACTAAACGTGACGACCAGCCACTCCTCGGAAACCCTATGCAGGGGTTGCTATGAATCAGAACTGACTCGGCACTTATCAGCATAGTAACAGTTAGAAAATATAAAATGACATAAGCTGTTTTCATTTTATTTTTGTAGAATTCTTTCATTTAAATGACTAATGATAGATGAAAGGTTAGGCCACATAGCACGTTTCTATAGCGTGAAGAATCATACTTTCACAGAAGATTAGAAAATCTAGACTAACCCTCTTATGTTAACAGATAGGAAATCTGTCCTTTCACAGTTCTGGAGCAGCTGTGACTTCCTCAGTCATGCAGTGAATGATAAGAGAAGTTAAAACCTAAGAACTAACAACAACCAATTTCTGCCGTGTGTAACAGCACCAGGAGGCACCGTGCTAAGTGGTTAACCTGCATTACCTATTCCAGTCTCTATAAAACCCGCATGCAGTTGTATCATCATTATTGCCATTTTACTAGTGAAAAACACTGAGGCACAAAGAAGTTGCAATTTGTTTATGGTCACTTAGTCTGAAAGTAGTTACATCTGGTACTCATACCCAGGTAGCCTGACACCAATGACTATAATAAATCACTATACAGTGCTGCCTCCCATCTGTGGTTGAAGTACTATGTTAACTACTGTGAGAAATGTCAGGAGTTACATGAGATTCTTACTAGTAAGGGAAGGGCTGTGTAGAGCTTTGTATATTAGGCTTTTAAAGACTGGACAAATCCAGTGTTAAAGGATATCAGAAGAGGGCTAGATGACCCCAGCCAGAAGTGAAGGTAGTTTTGTTGTTGTTAGGTGCCATCGAGTCGGTACTGACTCAGCCACCCTATGCACAATAGAACAAAAAAACACTGCCCCTGTCCTGCACCAACCTCACAAGGGGTAGCATATATGAATTAGGATAGTTGAGGAGGTTGACAGAAAAGTAGAAAGACCATTCCAATCAAAAGGGGTGTCTCAAGCAATGTACTTGAGGCTTGAGGATATCCTGCAT